GTAAATACCCTTAATTTAAGGGTAAATACCCTTAATTTAAGACATTTTTACTCATTTTGAGATCATTTTTGCAGTGCAGGAAACACACAGCCAGGCAGAGGAGCTCCAAGCCAACTCCCATGTCAGAGGATGAAGAGAGCCCATCCGGCCAGTCACAATCAGAGAAACAGGACTACACTAAAAAACACTTTTTCTCTTACGACCAGAATGATAACATCTATTGGTAATTGAATTCACAACAGTCATCTTCTTAAGAGAGAAACACTGTTTTAAATGAGTGTAAATAATGCATTTGTTTACAGAGGAAACTAAAATTTTATATCATTCTATCTGATCCTGAATTATGTTTTCTTAGAACTGTGGTTTGTGTAAAATAATAATACTACAACAATTATGATAAAAAATAAAATATAATAATGGATATAAATATGAGTAGTTTTTGTGAATATTAGTACTAGAAAGAGTAGTAATAAAAGCAACAGTATTTGTAATAAAGTCTTTAATAATGGATGTTCAAATAGTTTTTAATCATGATTGCTCTTATTTTTATTATTATTAGCAGTTTTAATAATTGCATTACCGGTTATGAATATTTTTGAGGCTAATATTTTGATTTATTTGATAGCGTACTTTACCTTTAAGACCTAAACATATCTTTATCTGCTTGTAAGGATTTCTTGTCCGGATTTCTTACCATACTAATGCTGAAATTTGTCAGTACCAGAGCCATCAAAATGCATCTTTACACATACAGCTGCTACAAGAGCACAACAGTTATCAACATTTGGTGTCATTAATAAAGGTAAATTAGATGCCATTTTGCTATACAGTCATTTTGTAAACATCATACATTTGGGATGGGGAGAGGTGGAGGGTGTAGGGCTGGGGCCTCCAACTAACATTTTGCTTAGGGCCCTAATTTGGTCTGGAATGGTACCGCACTTCACAATGTGAATCAGGGTGGTGGATAAAACATTATTTTGGTAAAATAACATTCCAAAGAACATTTTGCCTGATCAGAATTTTTTACCTGAAAAATTGCTTTGAAACCTCAAAGAAGTCATAACTTGATATTTTTCACATGCAATCCTTCTGAATTTGTTTTGATATTCATGTTTAATCATTTTAGGTTGCAATAAAATTAAATAGAGCTCATTCAGATCCCTTTTCATATTCCCTTTTTTCTTGCAAGGGTGTACATGTTAATTTGCTCTCGTTTGTAACACATTGTGGGGCCCATTTTCAGGGAAAATGGCACGTTGTGGGAACTCACTGCTCCTTGCGGGGGCTTGATGCCTGGGCCCCACACAGGGAATTGTTGTTTTTTGGTTAGGGGCCATGTTTAGCACTAAGGTTTGAATTGAGTTTAGGCTGGGGTTAGGGTTACGTATCAATCCGTAATGGTTAGGGTTAGGGTAAGGGTCACGGTAATGCTGTAGAAATTAATCGAAGTCAATCGAAAGACCCTGCAAAGGTAGTGAGACAAGTTTGGGGTGTGTGTGTGTTCAGGTGGATGGAGCATTAGCGACATTAGCAATTAGCTATGGTTCATTTACCCTAGATTTCTGGTCTCATACAGAACGGCTAAAGTGTTATAGAAGAAGTGCTTAGAGACTGCCTGCAGTGAGTTCCTGATTGATCTTTTTTCCCAAACGAAGGCTTGATGCCATTTTTGGCTGGTATACAGTATGGTTAGTTTTAGAATGACATAGGACCCTTCTGGACTTTCCTGGTTTGATCACAGAGCCCACATACAGCCCCTTTCACACTGTCATGTCTGGTAGGTTCTAACTGAGGCCCAACACTTAATCACATGTTTTAATGTTAAAAAAGTCAGATTTCCAGATGATTCCTTGAAAATGTGACCCCGGTGTCTCACATACTGTGGCAAGCAGAAATATACAACTCTTCCTCTATAGGTTAAAATTTTCTATACTCCATTTGTCCAAGGGGTGTGAATGCATCCAGTGTAGTGAGGACTGCTAAGACTCCTACATTCAGGAAACCGAATAACAGTTACATAAATGCATGGCACAGCACAGGAGAGCCAGGAGGTAGCTCTGGGAAGGACACACTAGTACATCAGCACCTCAAGAACAAAGGAGAGACATTTGACGAATATAATGTTCAGATCTTGGACAGAGAGGACATATGGGTTGGAGTGAGGGGTGAAGGACTGAACAGAGAGGGGAATTGGGGCTTCAGTGTTCAAGCATATACAACCCTGCATTTGAAATCAATGCAATGAAAGAAATCATATAAAAAAAAAGGCTCCAACTACCAAGGAGAATGAAAAGTCAATTATTTAAATCTGATTTGGAATCAATTAGGATAATGGATTCCTGTGCTTAAAAACATCAGCATTCCACCAACAGTTTGCTTTAGTGTGAGCTGCTTGAGAAAGAATCACTGTCCTATGTTAGGATAATTATCATTGATGATGTGCGAGTTTATTACACCTTGGTATTGGCTCCCTGTTGCATGTCAGAACTGATGTTTTCCACAATACCGGAGAGATAGAGCTTCAAGGTGCATACACAGAGCCTATCTTTAATACCTACCTTGAGACGCGCTCCTTGCACAGAGAGGTCTCTGCGTCAAGCATTCTGCCTGTTCTGGCGCATTTCTTTTCTTCTCATAAGCTTCATAGACACTTCCTCTCTTACGACCCTCAGCCATTTTCAAAGAACCGTGGTGAGAAAGGTGAGCTTCAATCACTGCCTAAAACCGTAGCTCATCAGAGATATACCAAAGCGGGGACGAGCACGTATGACAGCCTTAGGTAAACATCTCACCAGAATGATAAGAACCCCTTATTTAGATGATCCACCCCAGAAATAAAAAATCGTCCTCTATATCTTTAATTTTGATAGCTGGTAAAACTATCACAGTATATAGTGATATTGCAAAACCATGATACTATCATATCTCGACCCAAGTATCGTGAAACGTATCGTATTGCAACACCCATGCCAATACTTACCCCTAAGCAGTGGCTAGGAACGGCATGGACTCCCTGTAATAACAAATTTGCTAATAGGAAGTATCCTTTTTCTCGGTGCTTGCTCCTTTCTTGTTACTAGTACTATTCAGATAGCATTTATTATGGTGACGGCTGACACAGTTAACTGTAGCTTAAGTGCCCTTACCGATCTAAGGTATTTGGATAGAAATAGAAAAGCCAGGGTGTGCTGGGATTTACCCCACAATTTACTATGGATTGCAATGCACCCAGCTTTATCAAACAGGGCCCTGAATACGCATCAACATTTTCCCAAGAAAACTGAGCAGTTGCCTTTGTTATTGCAGTTATCAATCCTGATCCTCCAGTACGACTGCTCTGCATGTTTTAGAAATATCTCTGTTGCAGCACACCTGCTTCAAATGGTTGCATGAGCTCCTCAGAAGCTATGGAGCACTACAGATGACTGCTGATCATTCCTTCATATGTCAGCTGTGTGGCAGCAGGAATAGACCTAAAACTTGTGAGAGAATGGAACTTGAGGACAAGGATGGAGAACCACTTGCCTAGATGACTGAGAATATGCACAGAAATATTATTATAAAGTTGTTTGATTGTTTTACTCCTGTTCTCTTTCCTATTGTTATTTTGTGCAGCTCATGGCGCATTTAGATGATTCAGAGAAAATGTGGTAGCTTATGATTAAGAAATCAAGTACTTCCGAAAGCTGTCAGACCACCAGCTTGCACTGTCAGAAAACTTAGAAACCAGCACATCACTCTCTAAACTACTTGTAGCTCCTGTTTGTGTTTTTTACTCACGATGATTTGGTGTCGGGGGTCAGCAGGCTGTGGTCTCCTCTCAATGGAATACAGAAACGCTTCATACGCACGTCTTCCTCAAATTGATGCTGCTATGATAACTGGACAGAGACTCAGCACCCAACACACACTCAAACTTACACACTGATGGTGGGGGGATGGGATAGGATGACATCAGCAGCCCTGATTGGTTCAAATGACAGGAAGTGGGATTAAACAGAGCACCTCGTCAGGATTAATTAATCTGCTGAGACCACAGAATGTTTACCTCAGCATGTGTGCGTCTCTGTCTCTCTGTGTGTGTGTCTCATTTAGAGCACCGATACATACTGAATTAGTGACCAGGACATATAAGTTCATTTATCTGTATCAAAAAATATTGGACTCCTTTGAAGAGCTAAAGTTTAAATCTTTGCTGCAGTGAAAGACCACCTGTCCCTTTTTTAAGCATTTATTTTTATCAATCACTATCTGCAGTGTTTCTAATTGACCTACAGAGCTTTTTATAATACCCATACCTTGAACTTTTCATATATCTTTGCTCTTTGTATCCTTCTTGGGAGCTTTTATGTCAGTATGACAGCCCAAAACCATGGCCACACCTCAAACTGGATCATGTACCACTAGATTATGCACTTACATTTATTTATTCCTTCATCCACATGGGTTAATCTTAATTTTTGATAAGTTTATTGATTAATTTAAATACAACTGTTCTATTTGTAAGCTAACATTGGGTTAATTTCTTATCCACTTAATTATCTTGTTTTTAGTTTGGGATCATTATTAAATGTTTTTTTTATTTTTTCCTGTCTTTCTTTGTTCCCATAGAATCTTGCCCTGACCAAGATGGCAGCCACGGCTCGGAGCCCCTGAACTGAGCTAACAGTGAATCTGGAACATTTTTATTAATATTTTTAAGGACAAAACTAGAGCGTGTTAAGAATGTGCAGTTGTGCTGGGTACATGGTGCTGTCAGGTGTTTTTTTTATGTGATAAATAACTTAGACTTTTTTTTAGACTTAAGCACTAATTTATACATGTAATTAGGTTATAAATATGGTTAATTATACACAATGTTTTTATGTGTTCACTTTGAAATTTTACTGCATTGTCTGATGTTGATTTTTTTTTCTTGAAGTCATTCATGATTGTTTCCTACATATCCCACAATGCACCGGGCTAGCGGTTAAAAGTACCAGGCAGCTGAAGTGGGCGGAGCTTAACCCTTCTCTTGTACTGTTATAGCCAACATGGCGGCGCCGTTGGAGGTGGTGCTCAGCAGTGATTCGGGCTCTCAGCTCTGGAACTGCACCGTGTTCGACCTTCACAGCGGCTCCAGCCTGCTGTCCTACCGGGGAGGGAACTCCACAGCTCGGACCCTCACCGTCCTGCGTGGGGAGTTCCTGCTCAGCGCCCAACTGGGGAAGAACTTCATCAACGTGTGGGAGATCCAGAGGAAGGTGAGAAACCCCGGCCGTACTGAGCCGAACAGTCCAAGTGAACGGTACCGAACCAGCACACCGAGTACTGGCCCTCACAAAGCACCAAAAGCTAGAATCCTGACAGAATCAGGGATTTCTGATCCCATTCCCTCATTAGGCAGTTTAAACATCCCGCCTGTTTCCAAAGAGGAATGGAGTCAGAAAATAGAAATCAGACCAGATTCTGACCCTGGAGGTTCTGGTAGCTGTTTGGGTCAGAAACTGCAAAGTGAGTTTTCTCACGATTAAAGCCTAACTCACCCCCAAATATTAGATAAACAGCATACACCAGCTCTATGGTGTTTTAATGTTGACTCTAATTTATTAGAGTTAAGCACGTTGGTGTTGCAAGATAATGTTGCAAGTGTGATGGAGAGTTCCACAGTCTGATGGCAGCGGGGAAAAGCTGGTGCACAACCTGCTGGATCTGCAGTGGATGCCGTGAAGCCTCTTTGCAGAGGGCAGCAGGGAGAACAGTCCACTACAGCCACTGGTAAAACTATAACTATGATAAAGATATGGTTCTGTGCTGTATGCATTGCATTTACACAGCAGTGAACATATATTAACACAGATGGGTGGTACCTGGATGACTGCCTTGATGCTGAACACATAATGGAATACTGCTACTGATGGGTAGAGTAGGAAAGTTAACTATCTACAATGCTGAAGTTGCTGAATGCTGAAAAATATGATCCATCCATCCATCTATCTATCCATCCATCCATCACAATGTAATTTTAAATGGGAAAGTTGGACATGCCTTCATTGGTGGAAGAGGACACACTCTTGTACCATAACTCTTGGTAACAATTCAATTTAATCACGAAATTTTAATTCTGTTTATTTTTATTGCACCAGTTCACATCACACATCATCTCAAGGCACTTTACAGTTCACCAGATCATACAGTCAAATTAATTCAAAGTTTTATATCTTAAGAAAAGCCAGTTGATTGCATCAACTCAATAACTGGAAGGCAATCCCTCACACTATGAATGCTTGTAGTGACAGTGGAGAGGAAAAACTTCCTTTTAACTGGCAGAAACCTCCAGCAGAACCAGGCTCAGTGTCAGCTGCCATCTGTCGAGGCCGCCTCGTGTTCAAGGAGACAGAAGCAGACATACAAAAGGCAACTGTAAAAGACGGCCCCGTCCAGGAAACACACAGCCAGGCGGATGAGCTTAGAGTCAGCTCCCATGTCAGAGGATGAAGAGAGCACATCAAGCCAGTCACAGTCAGAGAAACAGGACTACACTGAAAAACTGGCCGGTCTCTAACATCTATAATCAAAGGTGTTGATAGTAGCAGCACAGCTGATATTTCTCTCCTGGATGGCGTCACAGCCAAACAGGAACAGACCAGATTAGGCTACTATGTGAAAAAGCATTATGTTGGAGATTGAACTAACAGATTCTGCAGAGTGCGAGAATAGAGATAGAATGATGAAATGGGGGACTCTATGCCTTCCAGAAGTTTAAGCCTATAGCAGCATAACTATAGAGATAGCATTGGATAACCTGAGCCACTCTAACTATAAGCTTTATCAAAAAGGAAAGTTTTAAGCCTAACCTTAAAAGCAGACAGGGTGTCTGCCTTTTAGACTAAAACTGGTAGTTGGTTCCACAGGAGAGGAGCCTGATGACTAAAAAGATCTACCTCCAATTCTATAACTTATCTAGATATGAGTTGACAATAATTACAACAATTGATTCATTCCAATTAATCTGATTAATAATTGTAGTTCTATTTTTACATGGTTTAACACAAACCTCTAAAATCAGTTTTAACCTCCTGTTAAGTATTTTTCCTTCATGTCCAACCTTGTTTTTTTTTAAAGTTGTCAATTGATAACAGTAATGACTGTTGGATATTAAGACTGAATTTATTTATTTAGCCTCAATATGCTTTGCTAACTTTTTTTCATCCATAACTAGGAAGAAAGGGTACTCTTTCAGGTTGCTTCTACCCCTAAAGGGACAAAAGCTGACATAAGTGCACAAAACCAGAGTACTAAATGTGCTGAAAAAGTGTGGAAAGTTTTTCATATCTGTGTGTTTTAAATAAAACTGCTCCTTTGAGTATTTATTTATTATAAAGATGTAAATACAGGTAATTCTAGTTGAAGCAAATTCCTCTCAGGTCATTCAGTCAGATGCTCTGACCCCTCTGTGTTTGCAGGACCATCTGCAGCAGAAGATCGTCTGTCCAGGTGTGGTCACTTGTCTCACCGCTTCACCCGATGGGGCCTTCCTCGCTGCCGGAGTGGCCGAGGCCATCTACCTGTGGGAGGTGATTCTACTGGTTTCCATAGAAACCCTTGGCTTCTGTTTAAAGCTGAGCGTGTTTATGATCTCTGTGCTCTGATTGGTCCAGGTTTGCACAGGTAAGCTGCTGGTGGTGCTCAGTCGACACTATCAGGACGTCACGTGTCTGAAGTTCACAGACGACAGCAGCCATTTTGTTTCTGCGGGCAAAGACAACCTGGCACTGGTGTGGAGTGTGTGCAGGTAGGTCACCTCAGTAACAGACGTGCCTGTGTGATGGGTTACAGGTCCATTCTGAACTGGATCTACAGAGAGTAGGGAAAAGATCCAAAACATCTGATCCAGTATTCTCAAGGTACCAGAAGCTGAAAATATCTGAACCGGAGGAAGGGACATTAAAGGAAATATGAAGCTAAAATGAGAAACAGAAAGGGTAGCAAAGTTCAGAGTAAAACATTATTAGCTTAGGTTGATGCTTTTGTTATGATGTCAGGTTCTGAGGGTCGTCATAGTAACGATGCCCCATCAAATGCAGACCTGCTTATGCTCAAGTTTAAATGTTTTGTATAAAAGACGAAGCAGTGGGTTCAGTAAAATCCCCACTCTCTAACTGGGCCTGGTTCTAAGGCTTTGTTGCCAAAAAAGCTGAGGTCCATTTAGGAAATGACACCTGCAGTGAGCAGCAGCGACCACCAGGTGGAGCTGATAATCTTCCTTCAGTTTGGTTGCTGGTTGTGCTGGTTGATGCACTGGCTCCTAAAGTTTGGATCAGGTGAATCTTGATCGCACAGTGAGACACATCTGTCTTATTTAATAATTCTACATCTTAAAAAATAAATTGAATCAACGATATCCAGATAACAGTATTTTAATTTACTTAACAAGGTAAATCTTCTTACTTCAGCCAAATTACAGGTGAGAACAGAGCACACTGGATGTGAGCGTGAGGCAACGTTCTTTTCCGTCTCTGTTATTATAAATGGCTGTGTGTACACTTTTTGATTATGGGTCGGGTTGCACTTTATTATCTATGGATCCATGTGTTTCCAGTCAGGTTTTAGATGGGGATAAATGTGGGTAAAGGGTCTGAACTCTACGGATGCGGGCGGATACAGTTTTGAAAAATCCAACCTGTGCAGGACCATAAACTGGCCATTGGTACTAGTTGATTATAGGGCTACAAACCCATTAATCAGTCGATTATTTTATTGATCAATTGATTAATAATTGGATAGGTTCCTTTAAGAAGATAATTTACTAAATTAAACCAGGTGAAACTAAAACCTTTCCACTTGAGGAGTTCTGGATGGAGAATAATTACAGACAAAAACATTATTATTTTTTTTCAATCTTAATTACAAACACTATATATTATTTTAAAAGTATCAGCTAAAGGAATGTTTTAGAGTTTCTATACTCCAGTTAACGATTAATGAATTACTAAATTGGTTGATCATTATTTAAAAAAAATCGATTAATTCGATTATTGTTTCATGCCTGGTTGGTTTAGAAACCGATGGTTGGTAAGGTCAGAGACAATCTGTAGGCTCTGTCTCAGGGCAGGGAGAAAGTGAAATCCATTTCCTTATTATCTGTCCAAATTGCATAAGTATGTGAAACATTTTAAGCGTCTACTCTCCCCCAAGAAAATCAGAAATGAAAAGGTTTCTCGGTGAAGTGAAACAGAACTATCAGCCATAATTTAACAGCCTGTCACATAGATAGATAGATAGATAGATAGATAGATAGATAGATAGATAGATAGATAGATAGATAGATAGGCTCATATAGAACATGTATAAAGAGTATTTATGAAACCTTCTTCATGTAGATATAAATATGATTGGAACCAAAATTGTTTGTTTTTGTGCTTTGGCTGAACTGTTATTCCAAATATGTATATAAAACAAGTGATGTCACTAATCAGCAGATCACTGGTCTCTTTCCTGTCTCTCTCAGTGTGGTCCAGTTGGATTTAAGTCACACTCCTGAGCCACGCCACGTCCTGGCCCGTCATTCCCTGCCCATCACAGACCTGCACTGCGGTTACATGGGACCTCAGGCCAGAGTCGCCACATCGTCACTAGATCAGACTGTAAAGGTGAGAGCGTTTAAGGCTGGTTTATACTCAGAAACCAGTTTGTCTGCGTGTGTGTCGCAGTTAACGTAGATATACCCCCGCCCCTTCAGCAGACACTCTGGTGCACCTTTCCAAAATTGTAGGTGACCGCAGACAGGAGGCCTCTGATTGGTCAAATCTACATCCGCTCTACACTATGCATATTCTCTGTTTGGTACCTTATCGGCTTGTTTTCTTTGTGTGGCCGCCATCGAGGAAAAAGACTCATTAAGAAGGACCGGCTAGAAGAGAGAGGTGCGCGAGAAAGCTGGGACCCTTTTTCCACCTGGATCCCTGCTATTTTTCACCCTCATGTCCCTCCATTGTCGCACAAACTTGCTCTCACTTCCTCACCTCCTCGGTCGTATCTAGACCCACTGCTAGTTCGTGATTTTCCACTTTTGAGTTGTGGCGTGGAATAACATAGCGCAGACCACGCTTCAAAATTGAGTATAAATCAAAAATATCTGCGTTAAACCTGTGACAAGCTAACTTCGACACACTGCTGCGGGAGTATAACCAGCCCTTTACCTGGACAGGTGCTGATCTCGCCTGATCTGTCCCATAAGCAATCCACATGCACAACCAGAAATGCATCTGTTTGAATGCCCCTCAGGAACCCGTATAGAAAGAAATGATTTATATCCTTAATTATAAAAGCACACTAAACAACATGGTGCACAATAATGACTTTGCTGAT